AGGTTTGTGATATCGTTCTGATGAGGTTAACACGTTAAGGTCTACGCATAAGCTTGTGATAACAATGCGATGAGGTTATGTGTTAACTTGTAAGTACGTTGTCACCAGGTTAACGTATTAAAAAATACATGTAGGCGTATGAATGTACTGCGATGAAGTTAATGTGAGCAAACAATATCGCTACCGAGTTTAGAAGTACATGACAGCAAAGTTTATATGCAACAGTGACCACATACAATAAGAGAGAACACCTTCGATTAACTGCATGGCGCATCACACATGATGAACAGGGGGCGAATACACACACAGGGCTATATAATTGTCCTCTGGAGGAGGCGGTGCTTTGGCACAGGTCCAGAACTTTTACTGAAAACAATCGTCGACTTCCACAGCTCCCTGGTGATCAGATCAGATGACTGAGGATGATTTCCTAGACAACCTCATGCCCTTTGTGTTATCGTATTCGTGATGGTTTCGAACAGAAACAACACACAAAAAGTTCCGATTGTATAAAAAGAGCACAGAAAACAAAGGATGTTTACGACAACCAAAATTTCTCTCAATGAAGTGAAAACGTTAACAAGCTGCAAGATCGCAAAGCGATGTGAAGGACCACGGATGTGGTTGCCACAGGCCCTCGATATGATGGAAAAATAGTAACTATTTTGTCAATAGCTACTATAGAGGTGAAGGCGTCCTACAGTGTCCGATGGTGTTTCAATCACAGTTGCCGATTTCTTTAAGCTCGCTGCTCTCAAACAACGTTCCATACCTGCACTTGTTGCGACAGAAATAAAAGGCATGACAAACGGGACGAATTCTCGTTCGTGGGCAACGGCATTTCCCTATAACTTTCTTGAAAGTTTATGGTTTTGCATCTATAGGAAATGACTGCTTAACGCGCGACTCTCAAGGATTCTTCTTTCTACTCTCTTCCTGTGCACACAACGGTAGCTGCTCGAAACGTGTTTCCTAAAAGTACTCTTTTTATATTTAAGGGGTGACAGCTCGTTAATCTTTTTAAGTTTCACAGGTTATAGCCCTGACATGGTAAAACGTTTATAGAAAAAGGCAACCAATGTCAAAAAAGAGTGGCAAGTAGGAAGGAACAATTCTGCTATATCACTTCCAGTCCCGGTGATCGTCGAGTGACTCGAGCAGGCGCTAATAAATCTTCCATTTTTTGCTGCCGCGCGCAGGAGTAGCTCAGTGGGTTCTGCTCGCTCTAGAGCTTCGTCGAGTAATATATCTGTCTTCTAGGCTCCTCATGAAGAACTCTGACCATTAGGTCGGTGGGCTTTCTGCGGTACGTTTGATTTGACATCCAGAAGAATCCAGACACAAACGGCTCCTGTCCATCGGTTGTCATTCATACGCATTACATGTCAGGCCCACGTTATCTTCGACTGTTTGGAGTACAGAATGGCATCTTTGATTTTTAATCGTTGACACAGGTCGGAGATCGGGATCCCCTCCGTGACATGTGTGAACCAGATTACTCATAGCATCGTCCTTTCGACTGCGCGTTTGATAACGCTGAGTTGTCTTTCATCTTGCTTACGCAGCGACCAGGTTTCTGACAGATACGTTAGGGCAGGAAGTACCGTTGAGTGGAAAAGATTGGCACGGACTCAAGTGCTCTTTGTCCTCTTTACAGCATCTTTGTCGCTTCGCGTCGGAGAGCAATCATTTTCGTCTTGTAAGTGGCGAAGGTTCAGTGCGCTTTGTGAATGGTTTTCCCAGTCTCTTCTAATTCGACCATAATTGCTGCTCTTCTTCCTTTAAGATTTGCTCTTATCACCTGTCTGCATTGGTTTGAAAGTTGGGACGTAAGTTGGCGGTTGCCTGTAGCTCTCTGTCTTGGCAACTTTCGAATTCTCAGCTTTCACAGCGCTGACGTGAAGATATTGAACGAGCTGATCGCATTCAACTTCGGTATTATCGACAACGGCATCCTCCCAGCAGCCGACTAATGATTTGAATAAGTCACTGTTTGTGGTGGTTCTAGGACTTCGGTTTTTGAATTTAGCGACTTTTTATCCTTTCCACGAGAAATGGAATATTGCACGGAGGAGGCGATGGTCTGATCTCTCGTAGAATTTTGGGACAACAGCGACATCGATTAGGCGAAGCTTTCTATTTACTATAAGGTGTTATATTTCGTTATGACGCCCCCATTAGGAGATCCCTACGTCCAGCGTTGAGGGTGGGGATTCTGCAATTAGGAGTTACCATTGATGGTCTTGGTCGCCACAATAAACTCAGATAGCCTCTAAATCTGTTCGTTTCATTCTAATCAATGAGTTTCAATGTGCCGTTCTTCAGACGTTCTTCTTGGTCCAGTCTTGGCGTTGAAATCTCTAATGATGACATTGAAGAATGTATGGTCTTCTCTGTAGAATTTCTCCAAGTCCACATGGAACACTTCGACTCTTTCATCGCCACAGTTTGATGTCAGCGCACAGACGACGAAGACTGTCAAACCCGCAAACGATGCACATATTCTTAATCGTAAACGTCCGATTCAGGTTGTTAATCGTTTGAAGTGAATTAAGGTTTATGGACAAATTCGTGTTGACGAGAACGCCAATGCCGCCCAATCCTCTCCTATCGCATTTTTCGTGAAGCACTTCTTCTCCGTTGTCATAGACAGCATTCACAGATGTGCCAAATCAGTAAAGCAGAAACAGGTGGTCCATCCCCTCGATCCAACTGCGTCTCAGGGTAGTTAAGGTCGCATTTGGTCCGCGATTAGCCCCCTATACTCCACCTGCGGACGGGCCATGATGCTACGCGACTACCCGGCTATCGGGATCTCTCATATGAGTGAGATCAGTGGAAGGAACAAATTAGTGCTAACCATAGCGATAACATTTCCATGACCAACTTTCTGTTAATCTCGGCAATGATTTATAATTCGGATGGTTTTCTTCAATAAGCAAACGCGTGGTTGCTATGATGGAATTTATTGGGAGATAATAGCTGACGTGTCCACGGTTTCGCCTTCTTCAGAGCCTGAAAAGGCTAAATTGAAATGCCATCTACTTAGCCAAGTACTTTCATAACCCTAGCAGAAAAAATTTAACAAATAAATTTACATTCCCATAAGAAACAGCTTCATTTAAACACCTACCGTTTATTTGTTGCAAGTTTTAAGTTAGTGGGTGGATAGCAGCCGTACAGAGTAATACATGGGCGAGGACTGCCTGTGTCAGGTCATTGGATCATCCTGAGGTATAGCGCCAGGTCACGCATGATGACAAGACAATTTTCCTTACGGTTCATTTTTGAATCTTTGGAATTGATCCAAAACGCTTCAAGAGTTTTACGCGCTGATGTTTTCCATTCCTACTTGAGGTTGGTGACTGCTACTTCAAAACCTCTCCGTTGTTTTCCTGCATCCTATGCGCGCCTAGTGGAGTGTTTGGCTTTAATTTAGATTTACCGACTGCGTGTTCTTTTATGCGGACGCAGAGCGGTCGAACCGTTTCGCCAACGTATCCGTCTCCGCACGCATCTACGACTTAGGCAAATTGTGCAGTTTTTCGTTATACATAGACGGTCATATAGGCGGTTGCTAAGTAGCAGGCGTCATAGAGTGTCGGACTCCAGACCGACTCGTATTAAGCAACGTTTTATGGCTGTACTGATTTCGTTTGAAAAAAGGAACCGCAAGGAGGAGTGTCTTGTCATTACACGTGACCTGGCGCCAAACCTCAGGCTAATCCAATGACCTGACACAGACAGTTTTCGCCCATGTTTTACTCTGTGCGGCTTCCACTCACCAACAAACTGAAATACTTACAACAAATAAACGGTGGGTGTTTAAATAAAGCTGTTTCTAATGCGAATACAAAGTTATTTCTTAAGTTTTATCCGCTAGGGTTATGAAAGTGTTCGGCTGAGTAGATCACATCTCAATTTGACCCTTCCAGGCTCTGAAGAAGGCGAAACTGCCGAAACGTCAGCTAATGTATCCTAATAAATTCTATAATAACAACCTCGTGTCTGCTTATTGAAGAACACCAGTGATAACATTGTTGTTGATAATAAGCGATAACAACAATAATAATAACAATAATAATAATATTAATGGGGATTGTAGATGAAAATGACACTACCAATTATGTCTTTTTATTCAACGGGGTAAGTAGGTGTTCATAAAGCACATTCGTAATTGTCCAGAATTCCTCCGAAACCCATTCTAAGAAGAATGGCGGTAAAAGCATTAGTAAGATATACGTATGAAATAACATTCTGTCATTTTTGGTGAAAACCAGCGATAAAGGGAAGGAGAACATAGTTGTTAGGGAATACTCTCTGTTTGCATATACGGTACCACGCAGAAACTCTACTGAAAAGCGGATGTTCCCATTCAGTCAGTTGAACTTGAAACACCCTTGCGTAGCATTGCCCGGATTGTTCCCTCTTCTGCAAATTCTTTATTCTTATCTGATGCACTTGTTCACATATGTCGTCGAAAGATTGAATTAGGTCTTTGCCGAAACTACTTTTTCTTTGTTTGGTGTTCTATCGCACACAGAAACAACTGTATCAGATTGTACTCACCTGAACACTCTGAATCCACATCCTAACTCCGCCTACTTCTCCAGGAATAAAAAGCAAGTTGGTCGGTCGTCTATCCATTCACTTAAATCCCGTGACTACCTTCATATTTTCTCAACATCCTTGCTTCAGTTGCTAGAATCACACTGTTGTGTTCCTCTTTGGCACAACCATTTCTAACCATTGTAGTATGTTCTATATTGCACTTGCACCAAAAATGTTTTCATCCCTTTGCAAATTTACAGTTCTTGATTCCTTTCTGTCCAATACACGCAGAAGATGCAGAGACGAGTGCATCATTGCAGAAGCATCGTTCGCTGGACTGAGCATGAAGTACATTTTCATTTTCTTTGCTCAGGTTTTGATTACACTGGTAGGTTAATGCTTTTGCAGTATCTGAGGGCAACCGCTTGTCGGAATACTGAACAGGTGTCATGATCTTTCAGGCCTGTAAATCATACTGGGCCGATGAGGGAATGCGGAAGCCGTGGACAACAATGCGGCCGCTGCAGGAGACAACAATGCGACCGGAGGAAAACCCACGAGTGCCACCAGAGCCACCAGGGCAACCAGGACAACAAGGGCGACCAGGGATAGAAGGGCCACCTAGGATTCCTAGGCCACCTGTTCCACTAGGGCCAGACGGATTACGAGGGCCACCAGGGCCACCAGGACCACAAGGGCGGGCAGGGCTACGTGGGATACCTGGGCCACGTGGGATGGCTGGGTCAACTGGGCTGCCAGGAAAAGACGGATTACGAGGGTCACCAGGGCAAGCAGGGCAACCAGGAATACAAGGTCCACCAGGGCAAACGGGAAAACAAGGGCCACCAGGGCCACCAGGGCCATCAGGAAGACCAGGGCCACCAGGGCAAACGGGAAAACAAGGGCCACCAGGGCCACCAGGGTCACCAGGAGAACAAGGGCCACCAGGGCCACCAGGAGAACAAGGGCCACCAGGGCCACCAGGGTCACCAGGAGTGAGACTTCGAATCCGAATCCGAAGGGAAATGAAGGTAACAGATGGTTCAGATAAAGAGGAAATATACCCAATTATTGATAACCGTTACGAGTAATTTAAATAGTTTACCACTAGTAAGAAGGTTGGCGGTCACCAAAACTGACGCACGAGATAAACAGCATACTTACAACGACTTGAATAGGGTGTAAATCATAATACTGCAGAATTTTCCTAAAACACCTTTTGTAATCATCATTGGCTTGAAGCTACTCGTTTAAAAAGGATATTCAATTGCATTCTTATGCAATGAGCCTTGAGATCAGTTTGCAAAAACGTCTTATTGTCGACCTTTTGTTTATAGGGTCGGATGTTTAGGTGGTGGACTATGGTGCTGGGAAACATCTAAAACGACTCAAGTGTTATTGTGAAAAAACGCATTGAAGCTGCGACCCATCGGCCCATGAAAACTTTTTAGTATTCGAGTTGCTAGTAATAAACCTTCTTGCCGGTTTTAGTTCTTTGGATAAGTTAAATTATTCTACGAGATACGAAGAAACTGTCAAATATCTTCTGCTGCTGCACTGTAATAATTTTACACAAAAAATTTGTCCTCGTTGACCATCCGTAACATTATCCAATGTATTGTTCGAAAAAATAGTGAAAAGTGTATTGAAGAGATAAGGAAACTCGTCGGAAGACGACTTTTGACTCTGATATTCATTATCTCCGGCTTGAATTGTCAAACTCTAGCAAGACGTCTCGGACACGATGGTTAGAGACGTCAGCTGTGGACAGACGTCTCTAACCATCATATCCTCTAGTAAGGTGTTACCGCTGAAACGCTAGCAATAAGAGGGAGTTTTAGGCTACATGTAATCCTTTCAATAGAAAACCCTTATCTGACGAACCTACTAAGCAGAATTTTTCGCTTCCATGAAGAAAGGCGTTCATTCAGGACTGCATTCTACAAACTTCCTCTGCCAAGTCATCAACAAACACCGGCGCTGTTTGTTGTTGTTGTTGTTGTTACAAAACAAACAACAACAACAATAACAAACAGTGATAATAAATCCCGGATGGCGGACTGAGGCTTAATCGCGGAACAAAAGCGACATTAGCTTCCCTGAGACGCAGATGGAACTAGGGGATAGACTCCTTGTTTTGGTGCGCCGATTTGGCAGACACTTTCCGTACTTGCGAAGTGTATTCATGTAGGCGTGTGTGAGTGCGTTTTTGTCTATGCGGATTGTATTCTACGAGTGAATTCGGTCAAAGCCTACAATCAAGTGACAGGGAAGTATACGGGAGGCGGCTAGGAGTCGCCTCCAACAAATAAGCTCCGTGTCTGCTCTGGGAAAGACTTACAAGCTAGTGATGGGTATACCCAGCCCTACGTTCAGATTCCAGCAAGCTATACGTGGGTATGAAAAACACAAAAAAAAAGTGAAGAAAATTAGCCGTATCCCCTGCTACCCATTCAACGCCGTCTATGACACAGAAGAACTCTTCCTCAGAACGTGCAACAGTAGAGGAGTAAAGGAGTCGGCGGAGTCGACATTCTCGTCAACACCAGTTCTTCCATGGACGTGGATTCATTCGAACGACTAACAACCAGAATGGGATGTTTACGATTAAAGAGATGTGGATCAATACCGGCTTTGACAATGTTCATCATTTGCGTGTCGACCCCAAACTATGACAAAGAAGAAGTCGAAGCGTTCTATATGGTCTTGAAGAAGCTCTACAGAGAAGACTACATATTCTTCAAAATCATCATTGGAGATTTTAACGCTAAGATTGCACCAAGAAAAACGTCTGGAAAACGTCACATTAGGACCCATGGATTAGAATGAAACGAAAAGGGTGAGCGGCTACCCGATTTCATCATGACGAACAAAACCGTTCATGGTAACTCTCAGTTACTAGCGCCTACACTCAACGCTTTACGTGGGTCTCTTCCAATGGAGAGTACGATGATGAAATAGACCAAAACACAATAAATAGAAGATTTTGCCTAACCGATGTCGCTGTTGTCCCAAAATTCTACACAGGATCGGATTACAGCCTTCTTCTGGCAAAACTTTTTTCTCGTAGAAAGCCGCCAAATTCAAAAACCGAGGTCCCAGAACCACCATAAGCTGGGACATATTCAAATCACTAGTCGGCTGTTGGGAAGATGCAGTCAACATCTTCACGTTATTACAGTGAAGGCTGACATTTCGAAAATTACCAAGAGACCTCTGTCTCCAGAAACATTCCTCCATATCTCGAATATATCATATGTATATAAAATATATTTTCTATACATACTTTATATATGATATATATATCAAATATCTCAGCATCACTGAGCCTTCATTTTAAGTTGAACTCAGGGCAGACTAGATTGCTGTGGAAATGCTCTGAAAGGCGAAAGTTCGAAAGCCACCAAGGGCCTCTATCTCCGAAAACCCTCGAGCTAATACACCAACGTAAAATCGCACGAGCAACATTTGACCACCAAATCACATCCGAACTTGCAAAACAATGCACACAGACCATAGAGGAAGAATTTAAAGAGAGAATTATGGTCGAAGTAGCAGAGACTGGGAAAAGCAGTCGCAAAGCCCACTGATGCTTCTCCAATGACATGACCAAGGTGACTGCACTCCGACGCCCAGACGGAACGGTTACAGCGTCCAGAAAGGCAATGAAGAAAACTATTCACGAATACTACTCGGATCTCTTCGATAGCCACGTCCAGCTTCCGTCATATGAAATAGAGTAAGATAGATATATTGTGGCACCGGTTCTCCCTCACAAAATCCGACATGCCATTTCGCCGGTGAACAATCGAACAGCACCCAGGCACCGACAGGATAAGATCAGAACACTTGAGGAACCTTCGGCCACTCCTCGTAAACAAATTAGCTTGGCTCCTCACGTTACCTGTCTGAATGCAAGGTCCCTACTAAGTAGAAGACAAGCAAGACCCTAAATCTCGCAGAAACGATGTTCATGAGGAACGGATTAGCTTCGTATAAACTATTCACGCTCAACGGAACGAATATCTCGGAATGCTCCATCTATCTAGGTGGGAAAATCAACATGATGAACAACTTAGCTTCTGAGGTGAGCAGAAGGGGACGAGCGGCTTGGGAAGCTTTCAAGATTTTTCAAGAGATGTAATGAAGATGGCCAAGAACGCCTTACTCCGTGCCTACCTTTTCGACTCCACGGTACTTCCTGCCCTAACGTATGCATCAGAAACCTGGTCGCTTCGCAAATAAGATGAAAAATCACTCAGCTCTATCGAACGCGGAGTCGAAAGGACGATGCTAGGAGTATTCCACTTCAAACAAGTAAAGGAAGGGATCTGAAGCTTGACCTGAGTCAATGATCAAAAATCAAAGGTGCCGCTCTGTACGTCAAACAGTCGAAGATAAGGTGGCCCCGGCACGTAATGCGTATGAATGACAACAGATAGACAAGAGCCGTTAGTGACTGGATTACTCGGAATGTTAAACACACTGCAGAAAGGCAACTGACTCCATGGTCAGAGTTCTTCACGAAAATCGTTGAAGAAAGATATGATGCTCAACCTACTCTTGCACGCGTCCGGGAAAAGTGGAAGATTTACCGGCGTCCGCTCGAGTCACTCGACGATAAGCGGGACTGCAGGTGATAGAGGTGAATGATTTACTGGGAATAATGGATAAAAGTCCGACCTTAATAAAACTTTTATAAACGCTTTACTCATTTCACGAAGCGCTTTAGAGCTGTCGTCTGGAAGCATATTTGGCTTATGCTACAGAGAATTTCTTTACCACATAGAGAATTCTCTGTCTATCAAAGAAATATTCTCTATAATTCCGCATATGTAATCGAGGATTTTTTATGGCGACGCGTCAGAGAAGAAGACGGTACCGGATGGCACCATAACTATATTGTATGGTTGCCCAGTTGTATAACCGGAATTGGCTAGGCCATCCTGCCTCCTTCCATGGAAGCCCACAATGGTATAACCAGAGGCGGCCTCAGTGGTATAACCAACACAGCCTTGGTCATCTTCCTTCTCCGTTTTAGCAATGCCGAATTAATTTCCATCCCTTCTTTAGTATAGCATATTGCGCTCGCCGCACTCCCCACTCATTTTTGTCCACAATTCAATCTTCATTCTCTCCACATGTGTATACCATGTCAATGTTTTCATAAATAACCTCTAAGTCAAGTTTAGTCAATCATTCGCTCACTCAAATTCTAATCAGTCCACATTTAGCACGATTTGTGCCTTCTCAGTCGGATCGAGACGAAAGAATGGTGCGAATTTTCGTTAGAATGAGGCAACGTTACTCGACAGTGCCATTTTATATAGGGTGTCCTTTAACACGAATCGACAAACATAAACACTCGACTCGAATCAGTGCGGCTCTAAGGAAAACAAGAACGCTTTCCAAATTGACTTGCAAAACAAACTCGTTTTATCTCATCGGTCGAACAAGATATTGATAGCTTATCTCATGGTAAACTGAAGTCGTTTTTATAGAGGTACTGCGTCGTTATGTAAAAGTTGTTACAGCACCGGCTGCTAGAGGATGGATTTACTGGAGAAAAACCATTTTATTATTATCCTTGGATAACGAGTTAACGAGAGAACATCGGTTTGAAATCATTTGTATCAATTGTAGTTCCACTGATTGTCGAGTGCCTCAAGCGTGCATCAGCAAATTTTCCATTTTTCCCTGTAGCGTGGAGGAATAGCCTAGTGAATTCTGCTCGCTCTAATGATTCGTTGAGCAACATATCTTCCTTCTAGGCTCTTCGTAAAGAACTCTATCCATCGAGTCGGTGGTCTTCCCGCAGTATGTTTGACATCCCGAGGAATCCAGTCACTAACGGCTCCTGTCCATCGATTGTCATTCATACGCCTTACATGTACAGCCCACCTTATCTTCGACTATTTGGCGTACGGAACGACACCTTCGATTTTTGATCATTGACGCAGGTCGGAGCGTTGGATCCCTTTCCTTAATTGTTTGAAATAGAATACTCCTATTACCAGATGTTCGCTAAGTGGAAGAAGTGCGAGAAGAAAGAAAAGTATTGTGCTCAATATTTGGAGGACTGCCTCTGGAG